GATTCCAGGAGGATTTGCTCCACGATCTTTCCAGGCACAGAGGTGAAACCCTGTAGCTTCCCGGGTCTTCCTTATTTCCTTTTTAAAAATGGGTTATGTTTTCCCTTTTCCAGTCTGTGGGAATGTCACCAGAGTGCCATGACTTCTCAAATATGATGGACAGAGGTTTGGCAACTTCATCTGGCAGTTCCCTCAGGACCCGCGGATGTATCTCATCAGGTCCCATGGACTTGTGTACCTTCAGGTTCTTTAGATGGTCTCAAACCTGATCTCCTACAGCTGGCAGTTCTTCCTTCTCCCAGTCACTGCCTTTGCCTTCTGCAACTTGGGCGGTGTGGCTGGAGCTCTTGACAGTGAAGACTGAGGTAAAGAACTCGTTAAGTACCTCAGCCTTCTCTATATCCTGGGTAGCCAGGCCTCCCGCTTCCTTCCGGAGGGGGCCCACATTTTCCCTAGTCCTCCTTTTATCACTGATATACGTATAGAAGTTCTTCTTGTTACCCTTAACATCCTTGGCCATATTTAATTCTATTAGGGCTTTAGCTTTCCTAACCTGATCTCTGGCTTCTTGGATGTTCCAGAAATAACTGCAGTAGTCAAAGCTCTTAGACAAAATAGCTTCTTCATCCTCTCCAGAAACCATGACAGGCAATAGGGACTAATGGGATATTAACGCTCCAAAGACATTCACATGTACAGATTTACCAGCTACCCTTTCATTCTTAACATGTCTTTTCCATGTGAGTTGAAGTTTCATCTTCGGGAAGGCCAAGAGAAGTCTAGTTTATAGGAGTTAAAAATAGGCTCCAAAATAATTGGTGAAGCATGTACCAGATGCACCAAATCTACCATTGCCACACAATAGGAACTCCCTAATTACACATTCCAACATGAAACCCAGTAAGAATGTACGGGGTACAGTTTCAACTCAGGAAAAAAACCCAACATTTAACAGCTTAAGACTTAGATAAAGCAACAGTAGTAGAAGCAAGAAAACCCATTGGACAGGTACTTTAGTCTGCTGTACAAGCCATTTTCAAAGTTGCAAGCAAGTTTAATTCTGATAAATAAAATTATTAAACTAAAATCTATCTAGATAATGTTATTTCAGATAAATCATGTGAAACTATCTTACCTCTTCTCCTGAAAGATAATAAGCTGAAAGTAGTCCACCAACAAAACGGATGTTGACTTCAAATACCGAAATCTCAGCATTCTGTTGAAATAAACAAATATAAGTTTTATTCTCTGATACTTTTCTGTACATTTTTGTTTGGCTGGTTTTGTTGGTTTTTTGTTTGTTTTTTTTTTTTTTACTTGAGAGCTCTAAGTGGAGCCAGAACCATCACACAGGGGCACAGATTTACACTGAAGCAAAGTGCAGTGGAAAGCCAACATAAGTGAACTTAGGGCATTTTAAAGTATTTCCCTGTCTTCCTCATATTAACAAAATATCCTCTATATTATCCTCATCCTCTCTAACTTCATCTCTTCCACTTGGACACAAGGCATTCTATACATCCACATATGTGAGAATCTCTCTGCAGATGATTCTGTGCTCACACACAAAATGTGCTTTCAGATCCTATGTCCCGCACTACCTCACCTCACACCACTGTTTCTCAGACAGCTTATAAGAAGTTCTTGATTAGAACATCATAACAAGAATTTTCCTAGCTCAAGTCTAAATGCAGGTTATTGTAAAATGACATGTAACATTAGAATGAGCCAATTATATGTGCTGACAAAAATGTAATCATGATGTGTATTCACTAGGAAGCAGATGATCCTTCACTATTACAGTGACAGCCCTTCCCAAGGTGGTCTGGTCCTTACCAATGATAAAGACTAGGTTTGTTGTACTGAGCAGTACAGATACAGGTATTACCTATTTCAAAACTCACGTTCTTCTCTGCCTTTTAAAATTCAAGCCTAAATTAAGAATCTGAGTCTCACAATCACTACCTTCTCTTGTTCTTTACCAAGTCAATTCCAATTTTACCCCAACACACAACACTCAATCCATTCAAGAGGTATGGCATTCAGGTGAAAAGCCGATCTACTGAAGTTTCTTAATTTTTGCTTTTTTATGTAATACTACTTTTTAATTTCTGTAGAAAAATCAGACAGCAGTCAATCTTCTAAACTTTTGGGCACATGAATAAGGTGTTTGACTTTTGTGTGTTCTGGGTCGCTCTTCCTTCTATTGAGTTATTTTTCCATCTCCCATTTGCTGACACACACTGTAGCTATATTCAATACAAATCAATGCATGGTGGAACTGCGGGATTTTCTTCCACATGGCTTGCAGGCTTTCCTCATTCAGATAATTTCTGTACTTTTCCAGTTTAAATGTTCAGATGTCAGTTTATGTAGGAGAGAAGAAGTTGCTCCCTGTAATTCTGTGGATTTAAAATTCTAGTAAACTGCCTTTGCAGAAGAAAACAGCACTAGGTTACTTATTATAAATATTACTTCACGCATTTCAGTTTGCAAGGCACTCTAAGGAAAGGTACCTAGACACACTGCAGAGTCGTTCAGTGTTTCATGAGTTCTAAAGGTACAGACTTAAAAAAACACTCACAGACTTACTACAATGCTTGTCCACTTACCCTCAGGCATTTAACTTTTCTCCTCCAAAATCTGTCTGCATCTCTATATTTCGACTCAGCAGTCAAATCCTGAGTAAGCAATGTTGGTTTTTATTTTGCTCTCAGATCCAGCTATACACAAACACCTTACGATCCATTTAATGGTGCCAAAATACACAGGAAAAACCTTTATCGGCACTTCACAAAGTTTCCACTTCATCATCAGAAGAGGTCAGAATTATTTAATCTTATTTTTATTTCAAGTTTAGCCTTCTCTTTCAAACCATCATTGTACCACTACATAGCAGGTCTGAGAAGTGGCTGAATTAATTCCATTATAGGTAATGGAACTTCTGTAAGGGGAAGTGACTGGACACGGCCATTTTAAAATTACTACAATATTCCTTTTCTAAGTAAGATGGCTCTGACCAACTGGATAGATACAACTTCTAATTTTACAGTCTTTTTGTTAGCACCGCAACTAGACTGCATGGCCATGTGCTGTGTACTATGGTATCTGAAACACCTGTGTCAATAAATGTCTGTGCTAAGCTTTTATTGTTCCTATGCAGTATCATCTTGCTCTAGCTGCTGATTTTGGAGGCCTCTCTTTTGTAAAGGATTCTGAAAGTATGTAGATGCCTGGGAAAGTGATACATATATTGGGAATAATGTATTTTTGTTTTACTTCCAGGGCTTTTATGTTAATGGAAGTACGTGAGTAATTTGGTCTTTGAACTTACATTTGATCAATAATTTATCATTCACTATTTAATCTTCTGATAAGTGAATCATAAATGGGGTAGTCCAAGTAATATACAAAATCCAGAGAAATTGTGACTGCGGCTCACTGTACTTTGAGAAACAGAAAACCAAAAGTAACGTATGCATCCATTACCGGGTGCAAGAGCAAAGCTGACAACTGTATGGAATTTTATCTTGTTTCCTTGATTAGCCTCTAAAGTAAAAATTATTTTGACAAAGAGATGTAACATCCTTTACATTGCTGGCTAGACACATAACACCAAAATGAACCTATTTACATATGGTAGAGACTGCTCTTTCTCAAACTCAGGCTATGCAAATAAGCAAGTCTCTACAATCAAGGGACAAAATGGCTGAATGTTACCACATCTTGTCTTGATAAGGAGAAATGCTAAAATGAGGGAGATTTTAAGCAAGAGAAGACCTATAGCTCAGAAACACTCACGAAGCTGCAGAATGTGACACATTTAACTAGTAAACCTATTAAACTAATTCCTTCTGAAGAAAGGGAGGCCGACTATACCTTAGGAAGCCCCATCTTCAAAAAGCAACATATATTACCAAATACGGGCAAAACAAAAAGTGTTGAGAGTAATATTAGCTAGTTTGTGTCACTCTGCATTTATATTTTCTTTGCAATCCTATGACAGGGCCAATCGATCTCAGCTACGCCTCACCACTTCACTTCTCTTACCCTTCTGTAAACCAGAGGATTAAGTCTACAACTGATAAACTGCTGAAGCTTCAACCAGCTGTGGTTGAATTTAATGTAGAAAGCATTGTTCAGACAACAAAACTACTGTCAGCTGGGCTCTTCTGAAGTCCTCCTATTGGACTCCTCCAGCTTCCCAAAAATCAGTATTCACATCTTTGTGGATCATTTCCTCAAATCATCTCTTTCAGGAAAGTCTTCCTCTCCACAAATTCATAGACCAAGAACAAAACAATTTCCATCTATGTTTTCTTGTGCGAAGTCATCCTCATTTATAAACACAACATTTGAAATACAACCCAGTTTTATTTATCTAGTATCAGCTTCCACCTGGCACTTCTCAGCACTGGTACTTGCTCTACCACTCATAATTAAATTGGAGAAAATACTGTGTGCTCTTTATGTGGATGAATGTATTCACAACAATCAAGTCACCTTAATTTATATTTGATAAAGAGCTTACTCTCGTAGTTTTTATAAAGATTAAAACAAGGCTACAAATCCTACCAAATAATTTGTTTCAGTCCTCTTTATTGCACAGATTCTTTCCAAAGCTTTCTTTCCTTCAGTTCTCCTGTTCTTGTCTCATCAAGAGTGTAATAAAACTTCAGCTGCTTCATCTGCATTTCCATCTGTTTCTCCTGTGTATGAGGAATATAGTGACTCCCCCCATACCCACATACCATACCACTGCAAACAGCCCAAATCCTGCAGTTAACAAGCTTTTGCAAGAGAACACAAGGGACCCTACACTGAACAATGCTGAATAAAGTATATAACTCTAGACTTAAAAATGGACACAAAGGGCCCACATTTCAAGTTAAATGAGAGGGACTTGTAATTATTATTACTATTAAATAATTCTTGTCTCATCAAGAGTGTAATAAAACTTCAGCTGCTTCATCTGCATTTCCATCTATTTCTCCTGTGTATGAGGAATATAGTGACTCCCCCCACACCCACATACCATTAAATAATATCATCCCCCTGCTGAAGCACAAAGGCTGGGAACAACAAATTTTAGCATTTTCAAGCAGTCCAGAAAGTATGATAGAGGCACAAGGAATACTACAATAGTTCACTTTAAGCCACTGTAATTAAACAACATTTTAATTACTTGCAATTCTGTGTGTGGGGGAAAGTTGAATTCATGTTCCACAAATGAAATCTAGTGGCAGCTTGCTAAAAATACTCAGTTCCCACAGATGAAGGAAACAATTTTAACAACCTTTTTACTGCAAGTGTCAAAGCCTGCTTATTGCATAACATACTACTTAACCTTGCTGAAGTCCCCACATAGCAAACTGTAATCTTAATCAGGCACAAAAATAAACTGTTACTGAAGGCACTAATGAACTCTTCCAGCAAAAGAACTGCATTTAACAATAACTTTGCAGGATCTCCTTTTAGCCCATCAAAATAATTTCTCATTCATAAACAAAACAAAATCAAGTCACTTTGAAGTCTGGCATCTAGAGTGTATTAACAAGTTATGAGACAAACTAGTAATAGTCCTACAAACTAAAGAACCATTTCTAACTGCTGGCTTTCTTAAGCTTCCTCACAGACCCGTTATACATTTACTTGAAGTCCATTTACTCCCACGTCTTTTTTTTTTTTTTTTTAAACAGGAATGCTATCCTGTTGCAAATTGTTATATTAGGAAACTTTCTTATTTTCTCACTTAAAGAGAAAAAAATACCAAGAATAAAGCACCAAAACCCATCTGCCTCCAAGCCAGAACACTAGGTTATGGACTGTTAAATATAATTACAAGTCAATCATAATACCTATGGTTTGAGAGTAGTAGGACTTAAATTAGTAAATGTTGAAGTTTGAAATAAACAATCTGGATTCTAAAAGTCTGTCCTGTTGCTGACTTCCTCACCACAGACAGATTTGAGTTAAAGATAAATGCTGGAAGCATTAATAATTAGATCCTAATAATATTTGCTGTTCTGAGATCTTGGAAAAGGGGTATGTTAATCTATACATGGCAGCAGAGATAAACATGATTTCAAGTTTCTGTACTTTTTCCAGTCTTTTCTAGTTCCCAAAATAGTAGATATACTACATGCAAAACTTAGCTTAACTAAGTTCATAGCTTTCTTAGCTTCATTACGTTGCATGAAGCTGCACACAAAGCTACTTTAATAGACACTCAGATTCGCAAAGCTAAGTCTGACTAAAGTCAGAACTGGTAAGTAAGCCTTCAGGCTTCAGAGTCTTGTCATCTCACACATTCCCTTCTCTTTATGCAGTTCCTCAACTCATTTAGCACCTATCTCCAAAACCAAATAATGAAACACACTTCCTACTTTCCCCACAGCACAGCATGGGTTCTTTCCTAGGTTGATCCATCCTGTGCAGTTAACAAGGGAAGGTATCTGTGATGGGATAGATAACATGATGCGTCAGCGCTTGACAAAGCGTCAACTAAAGTCAACTAAATTATATCCACATAGATAAAGCTATTGCACAGACTGCTGCCACTTTCATCTGACCAAGCAATCACAACTTCTTGCCATCCTTCATTTTTACCAAAAATAGAGAGGGATGAGGCAAACAAAGCAAAATCGACTAACAACTAACGGGAAAGTTATTTTAGTTTGAATCGAAATTCACCTTTGAGATATCTTCTGGTAGAAGAAACCATTTTCCACTTCTCCCAACAAGTGCATGGCTTCCTACTCTGTACCTTGTTCCCATTCTGGTCCTGCCAACTACGCCAGCATCAGACAGCTGATCAGTGGCTCAGGGTGTGAATTCAAGGACTGTCCCACAGACCATTTGATTGTTAGCACCTTCTGGTCTGGTTTGGACCCCTGTTGTTCCAGGCAACACCCAGGCAGACTTTATCACACCATGTAGGCCAAGAACTGTTCCCAGTACGCAGTATGGACAGGACTGTCCTTTTGTGGGGAAGAAGTTTATCAGGGCCGAAGAGGGGGATGGATCAGTTAGTGTAATCCTAAAGAAGCTGGGGTGCACCTGGGCATAGAAGCGAAGCACCATCAGTTCCAGACCTTAACAACTCCCAACCCTTCACTGCTGTGCCAAGTGGCTCAGCTCCTCCACTGCTACTGCCTGACTCCTGACCCCTTCACCCATGTCGTTAAGATCCCTCTTCCAGTCTCTCTTCCCAAGGGTGAGTTAATTGTGGTTCACGCCCTTGCACTGCAGAGACAGATAGCATTTCCCTTCCCAGTGTGAAGCAGAAGTTGGGTGGTGACACAGAAACTCTTTCAGAAAGCTACAAATACTCTGTGTGTATGCAGGTCCTAAAGCAAATAATGAAAAAATAAAAACAGAGAAGCACACAGCAACATGTACTTGTAGCTACGAAACACACAAGCTCCCTAGTGATCCCATGAAAGACTGGCTCCTTTTTCCTCCATTGCAACATGTTGCTATACAACCCAGCCCAGTGCAGCTCTGGGCAGGGCCATGCACAAAGCACTGTGAAAAGGGTGTGCAGGCAGCAGCATGCATGGGGAGGTCAGACCAAATCCTCAACTATATTAACTGAAGAGCAAAGATACACCCCCACAGAGATTAATTTATTTAATGGGAAACAGAGCACACATCCATGATGCAAAGACCATGGATTTAGCCAGTGCTAAATGTCCACTCTTCCCAAAGTTACGAGTATGTCTAAAACTCTTAAAATACTGACTGAATCAGAAAATGCAACTTAATTCATGAATGACTACTCAGTCTGGCTGAAAGTTCAGCAAGGTTTCAAATAGGAGGAATTTCAGCAGTTATGAGAGAAAAAACTCAAAGCATTGCAATGTGGATATCTTAGTTATAGTCACAGGGCTACCAGCTCCAGCTATAATAAAAATAGCATAAGTGTGTTATACTCCAAAAGGAGAAGCTTCCAAACACATCCACTCACAAGCTTATCAAAATTCACAAGTTGGCCGAAAAAGTTGGCATTTACTCTTCTAGAATTTTCCTTCAAAATCAAAACAGTTTGCTTTCTTCAGAAAGGCAAAAAAGAGTAACTGACAACTAATTTGTTGAACTGAGGGACTGAAATCTAACATGTGAAGAGATTATGCTATTTCCCATTAAGTTATCTTTATTCTGTAAATCCTTTTATGTGGATAAACTAGTGCCTACTTTACAAACTGACATTTAGAAACTTATGATCGGGTGATGAGAATGATCGAGTGCTGGCCAAATAATTCAACACGTAAAATTAGTATATGACGTATTACAAACTTCTAGAGAGGAAAACACGCTTTATCCAGCCGCATTGACATAGAATATAAAGAGAAAAGACTGCCACAGAATACAGTCAGCTGTTTTTACAAAGAACCATTTAAAGAAAATTTAAGATGTAAAAAACATAGTTCTAACATTAAATGGAGAGCAAAACTAATCCTACTGATACAAATAAAGGCCAAACATGCTTCCCCGAAAGCTGATTAACCAGTCGCTGCCCAGGAAATGACTAGAAACATCAAACAGAAACACATTTTATTCTGCTCACAAAAATAATACTTAAGGATGTGTCAATGTGTTAGTTATTAAAAATAAATCACTTGCATGGGAGAAAGATTTCTAAAACAAGCAAGAGTGTACAAAACATTAACACAGAAAATATCAAGTAATGCTTAATACATGATAAATGCTCAAAGAGAAAAAAGAGGACCTTGCTGTTCTTTGTGTTGGTAATTTCCATCTTTAAACTATAAGCTACAAAGCAGAACTTGAAACTAGAACTTATATTTAAAGTGGAAAACTAAACGAGTACAGGTTGATAGCTTCAAACAATTCAGACATTAAACAAACTAACATTATTAAAGTTAGTGTTACAGTTATTTATTTTCATTTCCTCATCCCACTTAGGGAAAATTAATCTACTCTTTATTGATGCCAATGTAAAATTCAATTCCATCGAACTATGAAGTATTATGAAAATAATTTTCTGAGATGTTGAACTCAAGGCAGCTATTTTCAGTAATATCAGGAACAAGATACTGTTTCTGACGCATATCTGTATTATCTCTAGTTTCTGTAAATCTGATAGATTGCTGCCTTCATTAACTAACACAACACAAAATTTCAGACATTTTGAAAGACTTCATAGCTTTTAAGGGTTACTGAGAAAAAATAAGTACTACAAAATTTTAAAGTACATAAATCAACATGAGGAGCGGACATTGTATGCAATACTATCTAGAAGTTTCCAGTACAAAGTATAGCAAGATTTATGTAAACCCAAAGATTTTAGTATTATTAATGTAAATCACACACATCAGACACTTTATGATGTTCTTCCAAGCGGAGATCAGCTTGTCCTTTAAAGTGGAGTTTGCTATTTTCTATGATGTTTTGTTCTTACATTTTTAATTTAAGAACATTTAATAATACCAAGCTTATAAGACAGGAATTTAGTATTACAAAAATTCCTTTAGAAAAAAAATATCTTATGCACAAGATAAAGTTAGCATGGCATTCAGACATCTGACACTACTCAGAAGCAGTTTAATAGCCTGTATTTACATTATTAATGTAAACAGAAATGCACACTGAATTGCTGCTTATATAAACTATATAATATCCACTCTTATTAACTCCTCCTTCTTAAAATGATAATTAATTCTCAAGCATGTAAGAGAAGTTAATTAATCCCAACTTTTGCATAACATATTAGAAAGAGTACTTTGTTTTCAGAAAGCGTTTCTACCATTATGCACATCAACTACAAGAGCTTTTAAGTACTCAGTGAACCGTGCCTACAATGCTTTCCTACTTTACTGCACCAGTCACAAGAGGTACTCCATTAGCTCTCTGTACTCACAAATTACAATACATGGTCTGACCAACAAAAGAAAAAAAAAAAAACCCAAAACCAGGACTTCTCAATTAAATTGAAGTTACCAGTTAATAGGATGATTTGCACATGCAGTTGTGATGACCTGGTAGCTCATAAGACTAAGGTAGCTCGGTTTGTGCCAACAGATCAGCATAACTCATGGGATTCAATTTTACTAGAATATACAAAGGAACTTAAATGATATGTATGGCGTGTAGCTTTCTTTAAATGCAAGTCTAATGCATGGAAGATTCCACAAAGTGAAAATATAAAGTGTTTACATAACTAAAAAATTAATGCTTGAAGTGTCCCAATTCTTGTATCCAAAAGGGCATAAAAGTTTGTTGTTCACTTTACAGTGGTAAATACTGTATTCCTTTTTTCCTTTCTTCAGTTCAGCTCATTGCTCTCGACCTACCTGAATTGCTTAAACTGAAAAACTGTGTATAAGCAGAGCAGTAAGTTTATGATGCTTCTGCTTCCTGCCTTGTTTTATCTACCAATAATCTAAATTTTGTAGTCTTGTATCATGCTTGCAATATTAGAACCCAATCCTCAATTGGCCTTTGGAGACTAAACAAAGCATTAAATGTTAATCAGCAACACTACTTACCACATTGAAATCTAAGTTTTTTTCAACCCACTCCTTGGCTTCCTTGAATTCCTCCTTCATTTCCATGATGTATAGTGTATCAAGGGCATCCACTATTGTTGCTCCTTGAATGTTACCTGAAATACATGAAGAGCCAGTGATTTACTTTCCAACAGAAGGCTTCTCAGTAAGATCTAATTAATTTAAATTAATTCTAATTTCAAAATCCAATTTCAATTAACCAATTAAAAATTGGGCATATAAGCATTCAAGTGGACAACTATTAATTCACAGCCTTAACTGTTATTCCCATGCCACAATACAACATCATATTTAAGTATTTCTTCCACTAATGAAGTTTTGAAAGCAGATCCGATGCACTACATTTTCAGCCATGATTTTGCATTTTTTAAACACTGACGGAACAATTCACTGTAAAAATGTAATTCACAGAAGACAATACATCTTTAGAAATGGAGAAATTATTGTTTCTTCCAGTTTGGAGTAAAAAAATCAACTGCTTTTTTGTATTTATACTCAATGACATACACAAAGCTTTAAGAAGCTGACAAATAGTGATCACATTTCAGTTAAGCAAGCTCTTTAAGAAGAGCTTAAAAAAACAATTCTTCTGATACTGTGCATCACCATGTAACCTGCACAAGACAGCACTGGCAGAGCAAAAGCAAACTATCACACATCTGAACATCTCTGATCAGGACACACTGCCAGGCATCGGTTTTCAGAGCAAGTTCTGGTAGTTTGTAAATGTAGCGTCCTTCTGCCTCTGTTATGGAGATGGATGAGGCCAGTTTACCAGACTTCACCTGATATTGCAAGATAAAATATCATCAGTATGTTCACTTTGGCATGGACTAAATGTTCATTATCCTGTACTGAAAGGGTAATGAGGAAGTTTGGGGAGAAAATAAAGCCACTCAAATTACTTCCCCATGCTTCCTTCAAATTTACAATGAACTTTTTAAAACACCATTTTTTTGTGTAAGAGTTTGAATTCCCATTTACTGAATAATGTTAAAAACACAATTTTGGCCACCTTACACAATTCTGTATTTAATAATTTGGCTCCAGCAATCTTCATTACAAATGCAAACTACTGTTAAGATATTCTTGAGAAGTCCCTAGATACAGAAGTAAACATTTAGAATTGCAGAATAATTTAGGTTGCAAGGAACAGAAGAAGTCATTAGGTCCAATCTCTCTCTCTCCCTCAGCAGGGGTAACGACTGGGGTGGATCGTTGACTACTCCTTCTGGAACTGCACTGGGCAAATAACAAGACAGTAGCTACAATTAACTTTACAGAACTGGATTATCATCTTGCCTCTGAAATACCTGATGAAAAAGTAGACTTAGTTTTGTAGACTTATCAAGTATGAGAACGGAATTATCAATATTTAAGTAGGAAACCCACTATTTCAGTCAACTCTTGTGTTTACTAGTGTCATGGTTTTCTGCTTCCTCATCAAATGGAGGAGTGATTGGAAACCTCCATATAGCAGGATTGACTTCACTTTCTTAAGCTTCCAGGCAAAAAATAGTTTTCCCTTTGTATCATCTTAAACAAAACAATACTTGAGATTATTAAAACAGTTACTTGGTACATTTAACAGAACCAGATGCTCTTTCTGTTTTAGCAGCTGCTAATTGTTTATACCATCCTTTTGGAATGTCCCTTTCCTATACTGAAGGAAGTAATCTGTATGTTTTCCTCCAGATATTCCACTAATAAAACTGCAACATGCTTTGGTAAGAAGGACATCATATCTTCCCAGAACTTACTTGGAGCTTGGCTGCCCTTCTCTCATATTAAAGGAAAAGCATTCCCTTAAACTTGGCTAAGTAACTTGCGTTTTTCCTGGGCTCATGAGAAAGTGAGAGCAATTGTGGAAAACTGCTGGAGGACATGTGCTCAAGAACACTACTGCAAAGGCTCTGTAGATGTTTAGTAACTCCATACAACAAAAGCAGCTCCTGGTGAACTTTTACAACTGAGCTCTACTTAAAGAAAAATAATCTATAACCTGATTTGCTTGAGTGGATTGCGATAGACTCACTGCGCAATGACATTGTTTGTCATAATCCTCTCTTGTAATACAGCTAACACCACCTCTAAACAGTTAAGCTTTCAATTTTAAGGGTTAGTACTTGAGCTGCAACTCACTACTGAGTCAGAAGGAAAAGAGGAGAATTCAACCATATTGAGAAATCACCCTTCCCATTATTTATTTTTTTCTGAATCTGGCCTTTATGGCCTGCTTAGAACATAGATCTCTCCCTGCAGGTAGATAGAAGAAAATGGGAGAATCTCAAGTAGATTTTACTTTGAGACAACCTTCGCTACTATTTTAAAGGCTTCAGGAAACAGAATAAAGCAATTACTGTGACAATTAAATAGTCAAGTTTGTCTCAAACAGTTATACTTCATTCTTGATAAAACATGAAAGAACATGGAATGCATTTTTAAGGTGTCAGTTTACAGGCCAGAATTATGACTTATGAACAATTGCAGTTTACACTAAATTAGCTAACAGGATAATCCAAGCATAACAGTGTTAAGGAAATTGTGTAGTTGAACAACTCATTTCAGTCAGACAAGGGGAAAGGAAAAAAGAAAAAGAAAAAGGAATACAAAGAAGTTAAATGAACATTTCTTATTATGGAATAAGACCAAATATTTCACAACCCTATATATACGATGCTTCTCAAAGCACACCACATAAATTACATACAGTTATTATTCATGTTAGTTCCTACACAACATTCCCAAGGAATTACACAGCAGTCATGGTCTACAAGAGGCAAAGATTATTGCTAGGCAATTATAATACACACTTATATGACACTGAATATTTGGACACAAAGATTGTTTTGTTATACACCTAAGATACTGCTATAAATTTGATTAAGAGTAGGCATTGGGTTACAAAAAGTGCCAGCAAAGTTGCAGTCACCACGGTAGAGTTTCATAGCTGCCCCAGGCAGAAAGAAGTTATCACAAGTAATACTCGGAGCAAATTCATACACCTCAGGTAATTACAGATATATTTTGCAGATAATATAAAAATAATATACTCAAGGTAGAGCAAATGGACTTGAAATTCATAACACATAAGCTTGAAGGGAGTAATTTTGATTATGAAAGAGATAACCAGATGTACAGGCTTGCCAAAGTGAAACATTATTAGCCTCTACCAAACCCTCCAGATCAAGTGCTCTTATATGCTCCATTTTACTTCCTTTGTTAAACATGTTTCTGTTTTTCTCTCTCCTCTTTACTAACAGCATCATTTATTCCATGTAAATGATTAATAGAGAATATGTAAAATAGCCTACAAGCTAGTTAACTGAAGAGAAAGCAAAATAAATCAGTCAACGTGAAACTTCCAGTGAACTACCTAGCAGCATTGACAGGCATCCTTTCCAGTTTAACACTTGAAATTTTTAGCAATGATCTGGAAGAAAATAAAAAGAATCTACTGCTAACAAGACCTGTGGATGGTTAATGAAGATGTCAGATTATCCAGCATTTCAGAATAGCACGAAATAAAGCACAGAGCAGTCTAGATGACCCCTGGGTAGTACACAGTGGGTCCATTTAAGCAGCATGCTTTTTAATATCTAACAATGCAAAGGTATATGCACACAAATAAGAAAAGGAGGTTACATTAGAGAACAGAGTAGTGCCTCAGGGGTGGGGGGCAGAACAGAATAAAAAAAAGTGATCAGAGGATGAATAACTTGTTATGAGTTTCCAGGGTGTCAGTTGGAAGGAGAACTGCTATGGATGACAAGCTTATTAGCACGGCTCTGTGACTAAGCTTATGTGGCCATATGGTTTAAGAACCACAACTGGCTTGTGGACAAATTGTTGGGAGGGTGGGCCAAAATAAGCTTTTATTTGTCTAGCCTAGGCTTTTAGAAATGGGTTATATTTTTGCCAAAAGAGTCTGACATAGAATACAGCCAGGAAGCCAGAATCAATGCATGCTGGTGCACTTGGTAGTTTGGTTACATCTTTCCTCTCATCCTTTGTATACCAAGTTTGGGGTTTCATTCTCCAGAACATCAATGTTCCCCGCCATCAAATATATGTAAAGAGAGAGAGAGAGAGAGAGATACACACACACATATGTATGCACATATATATGTGAAACAGATGAAGATTTGTGACCTACAAGCATATATCATACAGAATATTACATGGGGAAAAGTTTCAGAGATGTGTCCTAATGCACCGTCTAAAACAGGATGGAAGCCAGGTCCCTTACTCTTCTCGAATTCAACTGCTTTTCTTTTTCTGACTCTGTGTCATATTCTGACTGGAAGGAAACTGTGGCAAAGCATACAACAAAAATGGAAGACAAGGAAAGATGAACTATGCATTGGCCTCAGGTCATGCTGTACATCAGCTCCCTCACTTGTAACTGTTCACCATCCAACAAGCGTCACAAACTTGAATTTCTTGTTCTTGTGTGACTGTCGAAGATGAATACGATGTTGCTTTTTCTTCCAGAAAAAACAGTTACAGTTTTGCGCTTCTGATATGAAGCACAAAAATTGATATGACATTCATATTTGTAATATTTTTAATGTGATGGAAATTCAGCACATAGAAATAATAATGGATATCCCTTCAAAAAAGGGTACAAATGTCCAAAAAATATGTTTCCTCTCTTATTGTCAGACCTGCTTTTTAGGGATAATTTGTACTACTGTGGAAAAGAAAGTGAAGATTTTTATACATAGTGTATTTGAATTGCATTCAGCCCCACCCTGATCTTCTTAAGACTCTTCGCTGTTTTCAGACAGTGAGGCAAACTTATCACCTTCCAGTTGTAAGTTGAAGAAGCTGTCAAAGCAGATGGATTCATAGAATCACAGAATGGCCTGGGTTGAAAAGGACCATAGTGATCATCTAGTTTCAACCCCCCCGCCATTTTATTTCACCCCCCCCCGCCATAGGCAGGGCTGCCAATCACTAAACCAGGCTGCTCAGAGCCACATCCAGCCTGGCCTTGAATGCCTCCAGGGATGGGGCATCCACGACCTCCCTGGGCAACCTGTTCCAGTGTGCCACCACCCTTTGTGTGAAAAACTTTCTCCTAATCTCTAAC